TTGGTGGAGAAGATGAGTATGTCATCCAGGTATACGAGGATCTTGCCACCAACGATGAGATCGTGGAATATCTCGTTCATCATTGCCTGGAAGGTCGCAGGGGAATTGGTGAGACCGAAGAACATCACCAAGGGCTCGTACAACCCTCGATTAGTCACAAAGGCCGCCTTCCATTCGTCACCGGCCTTGATCCGGACGTTGTTGTATCCCCATCGGACGTCGAACTTTGTGAAGAGCGTAGCGCCGCGGAGCTTATCCACCATTTCGGCGATCAACGGTAAGGGATAACGATTCTTGACCGTGATCGCGTTCAACCGGCGGTAGTCCTGTACGGGTCGAAGTGTCCCTTCCTTCTTTTTGATGAAGAAGAAGGGGGACGAGATTGGTGACTTCGACTCCCGTATGTAGCCTTTCGCTAACTGCTCCTTTAGGAATTTGTCCAATTCCTCCTGCTCGTTGTTCGACAACGGGTATACCTTCGAATGGAAGGTCGAGTAGCCGGGCACGAGTTCGATCGCATGATCGTACGGCTTCCTTTCGGGTAACCGTTCTGATGCTTCCTTGGAGAAGACATTCAGGAACTCATGGTACCGTTTAGGCACCGACTCCTCGGCGGTCTTAACGACCTTCTTTTTGATCTCCTCCTCAGCAAACAGCTGGGAGTACGTATGTCCTGCTGCGACGAACAGCTGAGGAGCGCCAGGAAGCGTGACACCTTGCTCCCAGGCTTCGATCAAATCGGCCTCATCCCACTCTACCTCCACCGGATCTTCTTCGGGTTCGAAGTCCGGGAGTACCCGACTCCGGCAGGCACCTATCACCGACCGTTTGGACTTCGGCGAACGCCTGCGCGCCGTAGGCCTGACCCCCGTATCACGCACAGTTGCTGCTTGCTCCATTCGGCCAGTTCTCCTGGCACCGCACGTTTCAGGGCATCGCGACAATTTGAGGGAGCCCTTCTCCCAATCTATTTCGGGGTTGTGCTCGCGTAGCCAATCCAACCCGACGATCACATCCTCTGGACCGATGTCCGTGACCATAAATACTGTCTTCTCGACGTGTTCTCCTATTTGCATCTGTAGTACTGCTACTTCCGAGATGCTTCCATCTTTGTTGAGGGTGCCGTCGATATTGTATAGCGGAATTGGTTCCTTCAACTTCCGTGTTTGCACCTTATTTTCTATTATGAATCGCTTGTTGATAAACTTTGTGGTGGCTCCGCTGTCCACCATAGCGATTATGTCCTTGTGCCGTCTTTTTCCTTGGAGGCGCACTGGGATGTGGAAATGCTGGGACCCATGGTCCAACTCGTACACATTCGCAGTCGCCAATACATTGTACAAATTATTATTACGCGGCCCGACGCGTGCGGCACGAAGCGCGGACCGGATCAAAAAGACTCCTCCTTCATTGCCCGATAGTGCTCGAGCTCCTCGCGCATCGACTTCATCTGTGCTATTAAGTCCGCCAGCTCGGAACTTTCCGATTTCGCTGAAGCGGCGCTTGTACTCGCCGAGGATGAAGCGACGGGGGCGCTTGTCGCTGCCTGGGTGGAACCCAAGGCAACCGTAGCCCGCGCGTTGGCGCGTTTTGTGTAAGGTTTATCCTTACAATTGGGGCACTCGAAGCGTCGGTACCCTTGCTTCCCACAGCCGAAGCATGTGCCGGGGAAGTTTCCTTTTCCGACGGCCGCATTGATGCTGGCCGAAGCTGCGTGTGACGAGGGTGCACCACCACGTGCCCCTCCGCGTCCTCGACCCCGTGCCGAGAAGAAGCTGTTTAGCTCGGGCCGACAAGCCCGGCTAACATCGAGGATTTGCTCGACCTCGGTGGCGCGCTTGTCAGCGGCTTGCCACGTGGCGAAGGTTTCGAGCTCGAGTTTGCGATAGACGCGGGAAGGGATGCCGCTCAGGTACTTGTCGCGTAGTTCCAGGTTCCCATACCCAGAACGGTCCGCCGGACCCTTGAACAGTGCAGAGAACTCTGCGGCGGTGCGCTTCTCGCGCATGGTTTTGTCGGAGCAGAGCTTGGTAAGCTCCACCTGTGCCGCAGCGGCGTCGTCGAGATTGCCAAAGCGGGCCTTGAATGCCTGAAGGAAGGCTTTTTCGTCGACGAAGGGGGTTGTCGCTCCCTGGATCCCGATTTGGACGGAGGCAAGCTGGGAGAAGATGGGGGTGGCCCAAGCTCGCGCATCACCATCGAGGAGACTGAGGGCAACCTGGATCTTCAGCTCGAGGGAAGAGAGGGCCGTGTTGATCGTCCAGTAGATGAGCAACTGCGAGATGAAGCGGTTGCATTTGATCACCGACTTCCCATCGTATCGGAGCGGGAGAAGGAGCTTCAACGTCTCCTTGTCAGGGACGACAGCGGGAGAGGACATTATCGGCGACGAGGGGGACGAAGGACTGCCTGCGGACGAAGGCGACTGTTGTGACTGTCCGCCGGGCGGACTTCTCGAGGAACGAGTGCTTGAGCGGCCTCGCGGCGGCGACGGCGGTGAAGCCGGTTGAGGAAGCCCGGAGGCGGGGTGACGTAGGACAGGGACTGAAGTCGAGGCGGTGACCGCTGACGACGAGCTGGCCCAAGAATGCGGCGGAGTGTCGCGGGGCTCGGTCTTGGGAGGCCTTTCCAGCCGCGGCCCCAGGGAGGGCTGGGGGATCGCTTGAGGGGTCGCTGTAGGCTGTGCGACTGCCTCAGTTCCTCGAGGGAGATGGGGATCTCCTCGCGCTTGACCTGTACTGGCGACAGGTTGGGGGATGCGGGTGCCTGGCGAGGCAGGTCGGGATGGGACGGGAGTGACGTGGCGAGATGTAGATCTCGAGGTGCCAGCGTACCGGAGTGCAGGGCCGCGGGGGTGTTGGACTCGTCGGATTGGTACGAAGTGCCCTTCGTCAAC